GGCGGCCGCAGCCCTGGGTGCGGGGGAGGCGGGGCAGCCGCTGGGCCCGAGCCGCCCTCGGGCGGTAGGCGGTGGGCGCGGTAGGCGCCGGAGGCTGTCGGGCAAACCGCTAAGCCCGCGGCTGAGTCTGCCGAGCCTGGTCCCATCCCGGCCCGGGGAGGAAGGGACGGCAGCAGTAGTTCCGTGGGCGGGAAAACGAACTCGTGGAGCAGGGAGTCGACCCGCTCCCTTCCCAGAGCGCCCAGAACGCTGGGCGAGCTTAGTCGTCCGGGTTGCGCGCCCTGCCCCGGGGTCGGGGCGTTGGGGTCCCAGTCAGGCCTCACTCAGGCTTCCTCCCCTCGGCCCCGCAGACTTGCTCCTGTCCGCTGAGGTGAGCGGCGGGGACCGCCTGGACTGTGTGAAAGCCAGCGATCAGTGCCTGAAGGAGCAGAGCTGCAGCACCAAATACCGCACGCTGAGGCAGTGCGTGGCGGGCAAGGAGACCAACTTCAGCCTGGCATCGGGCCTCGAGGCCAAGGACGAGTGCCGCAGCGCCATGGAAGCCTTGAAGCAGAAGTCGCTCTACAACTGCCGCTGCAAGCGGGGCATGAAAAAGGAGAAGAACTGCCTGCGCATCTACTGGAGCATGTACCAGAGCCTGCAGGGTACGCGCCCACCGCCTGCCACCCACTGCCCATCCCTCTGGAAGCCGGGGACCCCTCGGTCCTGGGCTGGCTGAGCGCATCCTGCACTCAGTTCTCCCCAGCTGCGGAACGAGGGCCTTTCATTGGCCCCCAGAGACAGCAGCAGCTGGTGTTTGCTGAGGCTGAACAGCATTGTTGCCATGGTTGTTGGAAAACCCGAGAGGAAGTGGGGGGCAGTCCTGGGACCCTGCCGGCCTTTTCGAAATCTGGTCAGAACATCCCAGTAGGGACCCATTAAAAGCCACCGGAGCAACTCGCAGCTTCTCTCCTAGGAGAGCCAACCTGAGGCTCTAGCAGGCTTCACAGACCAGTGATACAATGGCTTCCCCTGCATTTTTGCCAGTTTTCCCGTTTCTTCTCTTCCACCTATTCTCTGACAGGGGAAAAGGAACTCTGAAAGGTTCAGTGGAATCCATTCTATCTTTACCCCTCTCAAACCTGATCAAACCCATTTGTCATTTTAGATTAGCTGAGCTTTGAAGCAGCTGCTGTGGTTCAACTTTGGTTAACACACAAGTAGCTCAGGGAGAAAAAGATCACTTGCTACAGCCGTCCATTCCAGTGAGAAATTTTGGGTAGGCGTGTGCCATAGGTGGCTTGCCTTTGCAAACCTGGTGCAAAATCTTGTGTATTAAAAATTCACTGAGGCTCATCCTGAAAAATTGTAATACACCGATTTGATCTTCCGGTTACAACTTCCTCCAGAATGTGTATTCATGAAAACCTGTCTCAGAGATGAACTCAGTTAATAGCCAGGATACCTGTTTTCTGGCTGTATGCCATGTTTGGGGAGCGTAAAAAAATGAGGGCTTCTGGGTCACCTTTCTTCCATTGGCTCCTGGAGGCAAATAAGGCTTGAAGTGTCATTGGCACTTTTCTGTCTGATTTCAGTTCTTTGCAATGTGGGAGAGTTTTCTGGCAAGAAACAGCCTAGGTTTTTCTCCAGTGTTTTCAAGGCACTCTGGGGAGAACAAACACAACAGAGGTAGAGGAATGAAAAAATAAATAACCACAAACAAATACATGTATTTGAAGTCTTTGAAAGTTTTAGTATCTTTTTTGTTGTACAATCATAACATAATTAGAATTCAGATTAAGCAACAACACATCTCCATCTCACGAAATGCATCTATTTTTTAGATCTGAGCCTAATCTTTCTGTTATAGGAAATGATCTGCTGGAAGATTCCCCCTATGAACCAGTTAACAGCAGATTGTCAGATATATTCCGGGTGGTCCCGTTTATATCAGGTAAGCAGATTCGCATTTTTACTCTGATGCTTTTGCCTTTGCTAGCTTGAAATCCATGGGCTTGCTTTTCTTTGGTTTTCAAACAGTGCGTAAGTGGATAGTTGAATGGTATAGTGTTTCTGGGAAATTAGAGATAAGATGATGATAATGAAGAGGCTTAGTGCCTGACGCTGATTGTATGACTTAAAAGTAATTCCAAATGAAGTAATGGGTATAATGGTTAGGAAGAGGTTGGAGGGAGGTGACTTGGTTGAATTTCTTTTTCACGTTAAAATATGATTGGCCAACTCTTGGCAAAGGGAATGCTGTTTCTGTCTGTAGGTGGCATTCGTATTCTCCTGTTGTTGCATTCCTTACACAGTGCCTCTCTGGAATGAGATCTATTCTAAGGATGCCACTTTCCTCAGGGAATAGAAAGTAATCTTAGATTGTTGAAGAATTTTGGTTGGACTCGCTTGTCTGCCTTTGATTTAAAAGATTAAGCTCTACCATTTGTTAATTCTTCTCTTTCTAGTTTTTCCTGAGCAGGTGTGTACATTTCTGAGGGAATGTACTATCCAGAGGCTCTTTAAAATGTAGTCTTGCTTTCCGTGGTTTGTTTTGTCTCTCTCTGGAGTTTTCTGTTTGGTTTGGTAGTGAGTTTAGTTTTAGAATTAAGTTTTTCATAACATCTGCATTCAGGCAGCCCATAAATATGAGCAAGGCAATAATTTCTCTTAATGACATACAGATGCCAGACTGATATTGTCTTTATTTATTTATAGTTGAGATATTTTCTCAAGTGCATATAGCTACCACAAATTATATTTCTTGGTGGTTAAACATGGTGGTTAAAAATGGTGGTTAATATTGAATTTGATTCTGTTAGTTGGTGGTTTGCTACTGATGAGAGTTCTAGTGTTCTGAATGCTTTATATTTTTTGCAGAAAAGCCACAGAACCAAGAGAATGCAAAATACTGATATTATGTGTGAGTGTATTGTACATTTATTCACCAAACATTCACTGAGCACCTCCTGTGTTCAGGAGGTTTGTTGTGGTTTTGGCAGTGAGTCAGTTATTATCCCTGCCCTCGTGAATCTTAGATAGTCAGCAACTGACATTTATTAGGCCTTTGCTATATGCCATGTATTGTATTGAGCTTTGCATTATTAGCGTATGCTATCATCAGATGCTTCTTAGGTGTCATTATTTCCATTTTAGAGGTGAGGAGATTGAGGCATAGTGAAGTTAGAAAACCAGCCCGAGATCACAAAGGTCCTAAAAGATAAACTGGAATTTAAACCCAGATTTATTTGATTCCAGGCCTTATAAATATCTACCCTTTGCTGCTTGGAGTGTGGTCCTCAGATCAGTAACACTGACAAGTCCAGGGAGTTATTTAGAAGTGCACAATCTCAGGCTACTTTCCTGACCTATAGAAATCAAAATCTTCTTTGACAAGATCCTTGGCGGAGACCTTTATAGGTACATCAAACTTGAGAAACACTTATCTGCTTGATTTTGCCACTTAGTTTAAAGGAAATCTAAGAGTGTGTGTATGTGTGTGTGTTAATATAAGAAGATATAAGGGTACAGATAATTTAGCATCAAAGGCATTCATGTCCCCTGAATAACGCTGATAATTTTCACTGAAAGTCCCCATGAATGGTCCTAGGAGTCCAGTCCTGACAGTGGCTCAGACAGTAGAGGAGAGCTGTACAGGCAAGTTCATGTAAGCATCAGTAGTTTTGTCTGTAGGAATTAAGGTAGGATGTGGCCGGTTGGGCGCCAGAGGTGAGCCTGAAGCTTTTAAAGAGTGATGACTCCTGCCTGTTGCTTCCCTCCTGGCTGGAAGATGTGAACCTTCCCATGCATGGTGAGAGGTGAAGAAGCGGGAAGGGAAGAGGGACCATTTCAGAGTTGCTCTGATTAGGATCCTTTAAGACTCAGTTGCCCTGTCTAGGTTGTTCATTTCATTGGAGTAAATGACACTTCATGATTCTGAGGGAAGATTGAGGTCACCTCAGAATCCCTCCCCTGTGCTCCTGCATTGCTTTATTTCTGCATTCAAAGTGCTGTGGTCATTCCTAGTTACAATTGGCTTCTCTGAATTTCTTTTATTGGTGTTAGAAATGACTCATGACTCTTTGCACGGAGCAAATTTCACTCATTCATGTATTGGCCCCTTCTCTCAGCTAGGGCTCTTTTCACAGCAAAAATGATCATGGATTTGTGAGACCTGTCCTGCCAAGAACACAAGTCATAATGAATTAAGCAGAGTCAGGAAGCCCTTGTCTAGGGCTCCATTTTATACCTCAAGGGCATTGAATTTAGGTTCCAGCACTAACGAGCTTTGACCTCTTGACAGTGTCTGTGTTCCTTAAGTGGGTGTAGTACAGCCAAATGGAGCCTTGAGAGGTTTTAAGTCCTTGAATAATGCATATTATCCAGTTTGGCCTTTCTAGGATGGAGAAGGACAGAGAGGCAAAGATGATAAATGTTGCTTTTCATAGTATGAATCTGAGTTTCTAGAACATCTCTTCTGTCATGAAAATCTCTCTGAGAAAGCCAGAATAGCAGGGTCTTGCCTTTTACAGATGTGGTAGCAATCAGAGTTTCCATATTTGGATTTCTCTGCTCAGTGTGAAGAGTATGTTTATCCACGTACATTAAGTGTGAGCTGACTCTTCCCACTGACATGTTTGACATTATTATGTTTCCATTTTCTTTGGATTCCTCAAGCCCATGGCTGTCTTTGCCATTGTTAACTTATGAACCAGACAAAAGACCATGTTGAAGTATTATCTTAGGCCTGGTGGAAACAAGGAAGGGAACAAAAATAAGGTGGGATCTAAAAACTGACGTCTGTTCTGAAGCCTAAATCGCAGAAGGGAAGTTTGGAGCAGCCTCGTCAGGCTCCAAGTTCAGTGGGAGGTTAGGAGGCCTAGTCTTGTGGAAATTTGATAGCAGAAGCTTTTGGCCTGGAAGGTTTGCTAACGGGCTTGAGGGGATACATTTACCCCTGGTTGGTGCCAGTGTGGTCTTCTGGGGTCTGGAACATGAAATACACAAAGGCAAAGTAAACTGGTGCAAGAGGATGTTTGAATAGTGGGAGGAATGCAGAAAAGTCTCCTGGGAGCCAGAGGGTAGAGCTGTGTGGGAGCTTAGAAGCTCAGGCAGGAAGCCAGGATGTGGTACTTAACATCTGCCTCACCCACCACAGCTAGCTCTGCTCTTTAGCCCCTGATCTGTCTCTCTTTTCCTTCACAAAAGTTCAAGCAACAGCAAGAACTAAATAGTGACTTAAAAGGCTGATGAGCCTGTTGACTTTTTTTTTTTTTTTTTTTTTTTTGACTCTGCAGAAAGGGCAAATAAAGAAGTGAGAAAGTTTAAAACTATAGTGTGTTCCAAGAGAAGCCTGAGGGTGGAGAGAAGATCTGAACCCCTCTTGGCAACAAGAGATGAAGAGGGCTCCAGGGTTGCAGAGTATTGATTGCAAGATTAGATTTTGTAGAGAAGAGTCAAGAGATGCCAGGCCTTCAGTGCAGAGAATCCAAGGGGAAGCGGCCCCGTACGAGTCAGGTGGAAAGACTGTACCACAAGAGCAATATCACGGTTGGAATGTCCTCAGTCTGATTTAGTGAAAGACATCATCCCAAGATCCTGGCTCTGTCATCACTTCCCTACAAGTCCTAGGAGAGGTTTAGACCTTCCTGGAAGCCTTAGGATATTACCGCTAGGGGCCAAGTAATTAGAAACGGCTCCCTTCAGGAGAGATGTGCCTATGCTTTCAAGTCTGGCCCCCTTTTCTGCATAATGTTGTGAATTATTAGCCATGGTGGACATTTCTAGTTTAATGGACATCATATTTATGGTACTATGTAAAAAACTTCATTAAAAACTTTGCATCGTATGGTGACATCTTCTGCAGGATGAGAGAGAAAGGCTTGAACATACTACCTGTTAGGGGTGTGCTGATCTTTTTCTTTATACCCCGCTGTTGGAAGCAGCTCCTTGTGCTCCTACCTTTGAGACCCCATTAGGTTCCTTATTGACTCTGGGTGTGGCGCATTCCTTAGCAGGCCAAGGACACCCTGCTCAGCCTGGCCTTGCTGCCTCCCTTGTTACAGCCCCACACCCCCTCTCCACTCCTGCTTCATGGGGGAAACAACTCTCTGGCTAGTCCATGTACATGCACTTTCCTGTCCCTTTGCATACGGCCTTGCACTGGCTTGGGAAAATTCTCTTACTTCTCTAAGGTCATGATCAAATTTCATATCTGTGGGCCTTTTTGGAATTCACCCAGACAAGCACTTCCAGGCAGGACTTCCTCATGCTGCCTTGTGCTCTTGCTGTTTTGGTAGGTGTTAATCATAGCATCTCAAGAGGCCTTATTTATGTGTCTGTGTTCCCCATTGGGAAGGCAGGGACTGGCTTATCGTGCTGGTGTCTGCTCAGCACCAAGCATCTTTCTTGGTTCTGAAGTGACAATCCCATCACCTGTTAGTGGTTGGATGCCAGAGAAGTGTCCGTAGGGACCTGGTCCAACCTTCTGCTTTTACAGACGCTCAGCGCAGAGAGGGGAAGGCATTTGGCCAGCGTCACGTTGCTGAGGGTAGCCTTGGGAACCTTTGCCAGGACACTGCTTACAGGAGTGCTTGCAATTGGCTTCTTCCTGCTGCCTGCTCTCTGTCTGAACTTCATCCATTCCTGGGACCTCAGCTACCACTTTTACCAAGGACTCAGAGCCTTCCCTCCTACTCTAGCCTCACCTGAGCTCTAAGCTATTATTTCCAGCTGAGTTCTGGCTAACACCTGTATCTCATTTACCTCCAACTCAGCATATCCAAAATAGATTTCACTGTCTCCCGTTTTTCTCCTCGTACCCTCCCTGAGTTCTCCATCTTGTGTAATGGTACTGTCATTTGCCTGTTGATTTCTGTAATAAACTGGAGGGTCATCACTATCCCTTCTGCCAGTCTCACTCTTTCACAGTACTGTGATCAGGGCCCGCAGAAA